ATTTAAAAACCCCCCCCCCCCCCCTCAACAACCAAGGCCTCCAAAATAATGTATATGAAAATCAATCAGTTGATAATTAAATAAGGAATCCTTAGCTAGCTACCTCTGGAGCTACTCTCGCAATATTAAATTAAAAGGAAATAAGAATTCCTAACTTTGAAGACCTCTGGCAATATTAAATTAAAAGGAAATAAGAATTCCTAAGTTTGAAGACCTCTGGCAATATTAAATTAAAAGGACATCTCAAATTTCTTAATAGAAATCTCCATCCAAAAGCCTCCAAAAGCATCAAATCTCAATGGAAATCTCAACTTTTCTAATAGAAATCTCCATCCAAAAGCCTCCAAAAGCATCAAATCTCAATGGAAATCTACAAAGTTTTAAAAGAAATCTCCATCCAAAAGCCTCCTAAAGCATCAAACCTCAATGGAAATCTACAACTAAAGAGCTTAGGAAAAGTAAATAAGGAATAGAGGATGAGTAAAGCAAATCAAAAGGCAAAGAAAAGGAATAAAGATTTAAAGCCTCAAATCTCTAGACATTATTCTAGGGCCCCCCCCCTAAATAATGTCAGAAAGCTGCTTGCTGGACTACCCCCTTTGCTTGAATGATTTTTTTTTTAAATACTTTTAAATAAGGGATTTTATAAAGAAAGTGCGCACTGACTTTTGGAAACTTTTGGAAAGCTTCACAACTAAAGAGCTTAGGAAAAGTAAATAAGGAATAGAGGGTGAGTAAAGCAAATCAAAAGGCGAAGAAAAGGAATAAAGATTTAAAGCCTCAAATCTCTAGACATTATTCTAGGGGCCCCCCTAAATAATGTCAGAAAGCTGCTTGCTGGACTACCCCCTTTGCTTGAATGCAAATCAAAAGGCAAAGAAAAGGAATAAAGATTTAAAGCCTCAAATCTCTAGACATTATTCTAGGGCCCCCCCTAAATAATGTCAGAAAGCTGCTTGCTGGACTACCCCCTTTGCTTGAATGATTTTTTTTTTAAATACTTTTAAATAAGGGATTTTATAAAGAAAGTGCGCACTGACTTTTGGAAACTTTTGGAAAGCTTCACAACTAAAGAGCTTAGGAAAAGTAAATAAGGAATAGAGGGTGAGTAAAGCAAATCAAAAGGCAAAGAAAAGGAATAAAGATTTAAAGCCTCAAATCTCTAGACATTATTCTAGGGCCCCCCCCTAAATAATGTCAGAAAGCTGCTTGCTGGACTACCCCCTTTGCTTGAATGATTTTTTGTTTTTTAATACTTTTAAATAAGGGATCCAAAAGCCTCCAAAAGCATCAAATCTCAATGGAAATCTCAAATTTTTGAATAGAAATCTCCATCCAAAAGCCTCCAAAAGAATCAAATCTCAATGGACATCTCCAAATGTTTATATAATAGAAATCTCAATCCAAAAGCCTGTAAGATAAGCAAATCCCAGCAAATTCAAAAGGGAAAAAGTAAACTATAACAATAAAAAAATCCACTACAACTACCCCTCCAAAAAAAAAGACATTATTCTAGGGGCCTTTATAAATCAGTGCAGGGAAAAAAAAAAGACATAATTCTAGGGGGGTTTATAAATCTGAGGGCCACATTATGGAAGGAGTGGTACTTGCGGCAATTCAATCCTTGGCTGTTGGTTGTACTGAGTCGTTAATCAACGTTGAAATTCCAACGGGGGGTTATATAAGCCTTGGCTCTGTCGATTGACTGTACCCGGAGCAGCTCTTGAAGACCCTGCAGGCATGAGGGAGTGACAGGGGGCAGTCAAGAATTAAGCACAACATATGTGGCACCATGGCTTAAGTAGGCCATTTACCAAGGCGCATGAAATTTGGGCCGGCAAGGCCACATCAGTTCACCAGCATCAAGAGCTTTGACCGCTAACTGCATGTAGGATTTGATGCAAGTTTCCTGAGCTAGTTAGAAAAGGGGATCTCAATCTTCAGGTGCTAAAATGGGCAATGCCAACCATTCCCAAATTCCACCAGGTGACAACTTGGCGGTTCATTTTCTGGATGGCGTCCAAGCTCAAAGACCGGCCCTCATCCTCCAAGGTTTGATGGAACTCGGCAATTGCACACCTGCAATCCCGAACGGTGCCCCAGTCGCTAAAAGGGTATCGATCGGTTGACGTTCGACATGTGCTGGGCGAATTCCCATTAACCTTTGGGACCTTTGGGACCAGTAGATCGTTTTTGATTTTGTGTGATTGACCCATGGGATCCATATGGAGAAGTTCCTCCTAAATTGCACCACCAAGGCACAGACAAGTCCGCACCAAACGGATCTCATGATCATCCGGGATGTTGCGCTTCAAGAAATCACTCAGCCACTTAATGCAAACACGGGCCTTGGGCCAGTTACCGTGCTAGTGCATGAGGGGATAAATGGTTAAGTTCTCAAGCCCAAACAAAAGGCAACCCATAGGCCCGTTTTTGGAATACATCGATAGACACCAAGTGACGTTCCATGCTTTGCTCTGCAATTCCGGGACCAAGTGATATGGGACAGTGAGACGATGAAGGCTCATATATATATATATATAATTTTTTTTTAATATCCAGCTGTATCCATATATATTATATAAGCGCTAGCATCTATTCGACAGCTAGATATCCAATATCGATCTCTCTCGATGCATCCGAGGAAGGCCTGTTCAGTTTGGTGCGGAGGAATGTTTTTGGAGGAATCCAATTTTAGGCTGATAGTTTTCACCCCATAGCCACAATCCAACAACCACACAGGTGCCCATGCAGCTGGGCGGTGAAGCGGCGCCTGTGGGTGTAGAGCTCGATGAAGGTTGGCGGCCTGCAATCTCGAAACCAATCCTACTATAAGATCAATTCTCAATCAACTCCCGGTACCATGTCAACAGGTTTGGCTTTGTTTTCTCACTCATGCCAACGGATTTTTTGACAACATCTAGTGAAGAAATCAAGACAAAACAGTCGAAGAATAGGACCCATTGCTTCTCAAATAACTGCACGTTCCCCCAACAGGTTTGGCGCCTAAAGGTTGGTCGTATGGATGTGCTCTAGCACCATTCGAACTCGAGGCCGACGAAGTGCCAGCGCCTGCATGCCGGGAAGGCAGGGTGATTCAACCCAAAATGATTGCAAGAAAGTCAAGGTCACTTTTCCCGGTGATGCAAGAAATGTCGGCCCCAAGGGCCTGGATGAACACCGAATTTGGGGCAACATTTCTTGCATCGTGGCGTGCGCCTCTTGCCAAACTAAGTGGAAAATTGGCAGGTTACACCAAGCCTCAGCGGCCACGATTGCCACTGATGTTGTAGCTTGGTCGACGGCATCGACCTGACACAGGGGAAGGGAATATATACATGGCTCTTTTATCTTGCCACCCATCTAATATCAACTCAGACACTACCACTTACAGAAAAAGAACGGGGAAACGCCTTCTCCGGCTGTTCAACCTTGACTGGAGTGTCATCCTGATCATGAATGATTTGAATTTGAAGTATTGCTCCCAAAATGATCGTTCTTGAGCTCAAATGGAATCTTGCCTGGATCGCAATGTATTCAGGCCGCTCCTTCGTCTCCTAGCAAACGCTATTTGGGAAGATAACACTCTTGCACCACCAGTCTTGAATCCCCTCCTGCGCAATCGGCTCATCATCCAGGTCAACCACCAATGGCGCCATCACCTGGCCAAGGCAGGTTCGTTGCAGGATTGGGCACTGCTTGCGTGGCGCGGCCTGCTCGCCAGACACAGGGTGGCATGGGTCTTCCTCCATTACCTGCTAGACCCCAAACATAACTCCGTGAGAGTGTTATGATGGAACAGACTAGTACTTGTCACCCGGGCCTTCTTGCAAAGCTGATGGTAGAGGGTCTTTAACACCAAGACTTTTGGTTTCCTGTCAGATCAGAGCATTGCATGAGTCATTTACTGCATGTTTGCTGCTATAGACCAATTTGCCGACCTGCTGTTGAGTGACCTGCGCACCAAGAAGTGCAGGTGGGATAGCATGTTGTGCAACCTGTTGGCCTTGATATTTGCCCAATCCTCCGTGGGCCCAAGAGAGAACATGTTTCGGGTGAGGCGACACAGGAAGTTTTAATTGCAGGATTTGCATTGAAGTGTCTCTGATCTGCTTCTTGCCACCGCGAAGTTTGTAGCTGGTGACATGCCAATTGTGGAAAAGTGTGCAAAGTAGGAACGCTGCGTAGGTTTTTGCA